TACCTTTATTATAGCATTTGTGAACAATTTACGCTTACCAATACATATCCTATCTATTTACAAGATAAATAAATAATTGACCTTAAATTATAAAACATAACAACAGATGGATCAAATATATTTAGAAAGTAGAGAGTCAAAAATATTTTTTTTTGAATTTGTAAAAAAGAACAGTTAGTTTTAAGAAAAAGATGTACCTTCACTATGCTTCTGGGAGTGCATACACCACAAAATATAATCCCCCAAAAGTCCCCAACAAAGGACATTTTTTTCCCCAGAAACCAATCTGCCGTAACGAATTGCTGAGAGAACTCCACTTGCGCCGAAATGTCATTCACCAGGCTCGTGTTCCAACACTTAAACATAGAAACGATAACTGTCGTACCCTATTTCCAACACGCGACGCGTCGTGCTGCCGCACAATCCGAAATGCATACTTGATGAATGCTGCGTGTAAACGCGAATGAAATCTACCTGATGTGCTAATTGCTTGGCAGCCGTCCATTACGATGAATATGATACAGCGTTCAACTATACGCCAGGGTCAAGGCAAATAACCTCATTAGGAAAGTAACGGATACGGCAAGCAATGAACTAACTAAGATGTTTATGCAAACTAAGCGTGCAGGTACGGTGACTGCGGAAAAGAAATTATTGTTGCTAAGTATGCAAAAACGCTCCAAATGGCAATGAATAATTAAGTGAGATGAATTTTCATAAATGTAGCAATATTAATTCAGATGCTTATTAATTACGGATGCATTAAATAAACAAAAGGATGCATGCTTGGAATGAAAGTGGTGGCTTAAGTCAATTGAAATTTTGTGCTTAGTCAACTATGAATCAACGTATTAGTTTTTTGAGCTACTTTATAAAACTTGAATATGTAATTACTGCACGAAATTAATGAGATATTTTCTTACGGATGTTTCTATTTTGAAAAGCTCAATAGATTTGAATTTGTATTCAAATATACAATTTGAACTATATATGTGTGTAAATATATTCCCATAATTTTGAATTTAACTTGATTTACTTAGTTTGCAATTATTTTAGTACAAATAATTTCGTACTTATTGCTGCGCTTACAATCAAGCCAGTAATGTTACAGTTTTGAATTTGTATTTGTGAATCTTGAATCTGGCAATAACTTATTTACTGTTGAGATTCATTGAGATCTAAGCATTTTTGAACGCATCTTTAGGTAAGTTACCTTTTTCTTATAATGGATTTAGAACTTTTCAATCCATTATTTCCAATAGAATTTTACTTAGTATTTTAAACAGAGAGAGGGAAGGTTGACTAACAAAACTGGTTGAACCTCATTTTTACATAAATTTAAAAATTGTCCAAAATCAGAATTGTTTATAATACTGCAGCATCCCCATATTTTTAATTTTCCAATATCTGTTTGATTCGTTTATTTATCTTTAGTATTAAAATCATTGCTATCTCTCTAGTAGAGATTATTAAAACTATAAATATATATCGTGTGCGTAAAAAAAAAGAATACACTTTAAAACTAGCATTATAATACATAAAAAAAAATAAATTAATTAACTCTACAACACACACACGTTATTTACATATTTTTAAATACATATAATCAAATATATTCCAATAATTTTAAACAGATAAATAGGTCATTTGTTTTTAATACATAGCAAAATGAAAATAATTAAAATACGCAAATCAATAAAATAACTACAAAGAATCAAGATTTTTTTTCCATAAAGTAAAAAAAAAAATGAAAGACTAATAAAACAAAGTAAGACTAAATAAAGTAACAACTCTTTATTTAAGTACTTTTTTTTTTTCTTCAGAATACATTTAAACTGGGGTAACACGTTACTTTAGCAATAAAATGATTCTAGTGGAAATGCCATTTTTGGTTCGTCACAGTTTTTTTAGCAGCTTCATGATATGTGAAAGTACTTTAAACTTTAAAGTGATCTCCATTCCAAAACTCGCACTTCTTTGCAACTCGTATCCCAATTGAATAAAAAGTGCACATAATCTTATAAGGCATTGCCTCAGGAGATGCAATCCTTTTGGAATTATGCATGTCAAATGCAATATCATGCGCAAGATTACTTTTCTGCTTAAGAATTATACTTCTCATTCTGTGTGCCTCCTAAATCTTCTCCATTTCTGCGTTTTTAAAGAAATAATCCAGTTTTACTTTTTTTTATATTCAAAAGTTGGATTTTAGGAGAATTATTTAAAACTTTTTCCAGGTTTATTTTA